TTTTCTCTCTCTCTCTTTTATATTTTTACATTTTTATATTTTATTTATAATAATAATCTAGTATTGAATATTGATGTAGCATTCTGAAAAATCTTATATTTCTTTCTATAGGATTTTAACTGGAAACTCTCTGAGTGGAAGTGTACCTGGCTCAATCTTCAAGGATGGAAGTAATGTGTATGTGTAATTCTTATCTTCAATGCTTCATATTATTTATTTTTTTTCTTTTGATATAATTGCAATTTACCTTTTCCTTGTATGCTTCTCATGCGTATCCAAGATCTGTCTCATGTATATATTATTACTAAAAATGGAATTCTGGAAGCTAACAATTTGAGGATCCATGCAATGGACACACATCATTTCTGGCTTATGTTTGTTTCTCTCTAAAGAGATTGACCTTTCCTGCATGCAGTGATCTTTCATACAATAACTTTACGTGGCAAGGCCCTGAGCAACGTACTTGTCAGGACAACATGTGAGAATACTGTTCTAGTAGTTATTCATGTATTATGCCGGTTTTATATGGATACAAACTAATGGTTGTTTCACCTTTTTCCTTTTTTAATAGCAATCTAAACCTGAACTTGTTTCGAAGCTCTTCAACGGAGAACAACTTGTAAGATTTTCTTTCTCTGTCTTGCTTTCTTTTTGTTGCATTACAGTGAGAAAAGATGTTCATATATACACATGGCGTACATTCCATGTTAATATATGTTTGTCACTCAATTATGACAGAAGGAGAGGTCTTCCATGCTTGAAGGATCTCAACTGCCCACGCTGTAAGGATATATTCTAATTGGCTTAAATAATATGCAATGCTATACAGTTTATTGAAGTTTCAGTACGTGTATTGGAATTTCTACTTCTACTTGAAATGGTGTAATCTCCTTTATTTTTGTTTTATAGAAGATGCATGTTTCAGTTAGTTTGACCATGAAGCAATATCAGCTTGTTGCAGAAGAAAATTGTAAATGATAAAGATTGCTACACCCAAAAAAGTAAATTCTTCTGTTTTTAAAGTCTTTGTTTCAGAGAAAAAATAAAGTGAAAAAGAATTTGAGTGAAGTTTGAAACTCGCTCTGCCTGAAAATGTTCAGAGAGAATACCATGATATTCAAAAGTAATTGTTGGTTTCATATTCTCTCATTTATATTTTTATTTTCATCCATTATTCCAGATTCAACTTGTTTACATGTTAATTGTGGTGGAAATGATGTCACCATCAAAGAAAATAAAGGAAACATTGTGTATGAAGGAGACGGAGGAGTTGAAGGTGGCGCTGCAGAGTATTCCTTTAATGGTGATTATTTTTGGGGATTTAGTAGCACTGGAGACTTCATGGATGACAATGATTTCCAAAATACACGTTACTCTGTATATCTGGCATCTTCAAATCTCTCTGATTTATACACGACAGCACGTATATCCCCAATTTCAATCACATATTTCCATTACTGCTTAGAAAATGGTGACTATACTGTAAGTCTCCACTTTGCGGAGATACAGTTTACAAATGACCAAACATATACGAGTCTTGGCAGACGCATATTTGATATCTATGTTCAGGTAATTAGTCACCTTGTTAAAAATGTATATTATGAAGTTGCAAATAGGTGTAATGTGAAGCGTTTTTGTCTCAGGAAGAAGTATTGCGAAAGGATTTCAATATTGAAGATGAGGCAAAGATGGCTCAAAAGCCTGTAATACTAGAACATAATGTCAGTGTAACAAATAATATCTTAGAGATCCGATTCTATTTTGCTGGTAAAGGGACAACAAGAATCCCTGAGAGAGGAGTCTATGGTCCCCTTATCTCTGCTATTTCTGTGAAATCTGGTGAGTTATTTGGATGCGATCTTCTTCTTTACCTTATTGTAAAGCACTCATGATAAGGTATGCTTGGGATAAAGCTTGGATCACAATTTTTTCTGTTTTCAACATCTGTTTCTCAGCCCGGGCCATTCTTGGTTTGGCTCAGACAGAGTTTTGAGGCCTAACATTAGACACAACATGGGAACCTAGTTCAGGAAGCAGGCTAGTTTAGGAACTGGTGGTATGATGATGGTACCTATGTATTATGCATCTGCTGCTTTTTCTTTTCCCTTAATGCTAATTAGGATTTTTTTTTTCTACCGACATAGAGTCCGATTTTAGTGTTAGTTTGTGCTAGAGTTTTAATTCTGTAACTTATCTGCGGCAAGAGCAATGCTATTTTATGTGCGTTCCTATGAATGGAATGGATTTAATGTATGTAAAAATTGACTTTGCTTTTTAATCCTGATATGAAGGGTTTCTAATAAAGACTCATATGCACACTTCCCAACCTCTTTTACAATTTTGTTTATCCAATTTGGAAAATTTATGTTCACTTCAGCCTTTGAAAACAACGTGTTCCTGTACAAGAGTTTCTTGTCCTTTTTTCGTTTTATATTATTCCAGTTAGTTAATTGATTTGTTCTTTTGAGCAGATTCCAAAGATTGCTCAAATGGTGAAAGCAAGGGAACTGCTCACATTGTTGCTGGAGCTGTAGTGGGAGCATTTGGCCTAGTGTTTGTTATATTAGGAATCCTTTGGTGGAAAGGATACATGCCAGGCAAAAGGGGGAGAAAGAAAGGTGCTTCATCATATCGAAATGTGTCATTCTCAGATTCATTGGTTCCTACTGATAGTTTTCACAAGTATATAAAATGAAGGAAAAAAAAAATTAACAATTGCACTCTTTGATTGCTTAAGCAATGATGAATAACACCCATACTCTTCTGATGCCTCCTTGGACAGATAGAGAAGGACTTGATGGGCAGACAGGGACTTTTACCTTAAAACAATTAAAAGCTGCCACAAACGACTTCGATTCTGCTAACAAAATCGGAGAAGGTGGTTTTGGTCCTGTGTACAAGGTACTTTAGCTATCTGTATGTTGAATCTTTTCCATGTATTTTTTTAAGATTTCCCTGTTTTACGTTTACGTACGTAGTTCTGAACATGGGTTGGGATGCAGGGTCAATTGCCTGATGGTACAGTGATAGCCGTTAAGCAGCTTTCATCTAAGTCAAGGCAGGGAAATCGTGAATTCTTAAATGAGATGGGCATGATTTCTTGTTTACAGCACCCAAATCTTGTGAAGCTTCATGGATGTTGTATTGATGGAGGTCAGCTATTGCTGGTCTATGAGTACATGGAAAACAATAACCTTGCACGAGCATTGCTTGGTGAGTATGATGTCAATTACTCAACTGTATAAGTGCGGAAACCAATTAGTATGTAACTGATCATGATCTAAAGTGTATAATTTTGAGTTGGTTTTTATCCTTTTCTTTATTTATATCCTTGGATGGGTTATACTGATTTCTAGGTTTCTTTTTGCATACTCCCTGAGTACTACTTGCTTTCCATTTTGTTTTGGAATTTCTTTCACACAATTTATTTATACTTGAAAAGAAAGTTTGAGCGAGCAGTATTTTCTTTGACTAACTTTTGTAGGTCGAGAAAATCATCTTAAACTGGACTGGCCAACAAGGCGTAATATTTGTATTGGGATAGCAAGAGGACTAGCTTTTCTCCATGAAGAATCTGTACTTAAAATTGTTCACCGAGACGTCAAAGCTACTAATGTGCTGCTTGATCGGGACTTGAACCCCAAAATATCCGACTTTGGATTAGCAAAGCTTGATGAAGAGGAGAAGACGCACATGAGCACCCGAGTTGCTGGGACCATGTCAGTTTCCACTTTCCATGTCCTTGTTTACACTGACTTGTTGATATACTTGCAACAAAGTCTAGCTAAATTGGTGATCTTTTTTTTTTTTGGTTTGAATAACAAGATTTTGGGATCTTGATTTGCAGAGGATACATGGCACCAGAATATGCATTATGGGGTCACCTGACGTACAAAGCAGATGTTTACAGTTTTGGAGTAGTGGCCTTGGAAATTATTAGTGGGAAGAACAACAATAATTATATCCCAAGTGATGACTGGGTTTGCCTTTTAGATTGGGTACTCTTACCATTCCCTCTAGCTCTTTGATCCATTTTTACATCCATCTTGTCACATCTGATTGTTCTCATTGTTACTAATTCAGTGAGAAACTACAATAAACATTTGCAGGCTTGTCATTTGCAACAAACTGGAAACTTGTTGGAGCTAGTTGATGAGAAGTTAGGGTCCGAGTTTGACCAAAAAGAAGCAGAGATCATGGTTAAAGTGGCTCTGATTTGTACAAATGCCTCTGCATCACTTAGGCCTAGTATGTCCGAGGTGGTGAGCATGCTTGAAGGACAAACCCTTGTTCCTGACGTGATCCCAGAACCAAGTACCTATAGAGAAGATTTGAGGTTTAAGGCCATGAGAGACCTCCACCGGCAGAGGCAAGATCATAGTTTAAGTATCAGTCGAACACAGCATTCAACTACGGTCAACACATTTGAGTCTACCTCTACGTCCGGCCTTGAATTCTCTGAAATCAATCCAGACTCAACACCCTCTTGACAGTTGTGGACATTCTGGTTCTATAGTAGCAAGTATGTTGTATTTTGTAGTCTTCGGAAACGCATATGCAGATTAGCTGTGTCCATATTTTCTTTTCTGTACATATTTTGTTCAATTTTCTATTAGCTTTATTCAAACATATCAATATTATTCAATTGAAGACTCAATTTAATTCGTTCACTCGTTTTCCCCGCCAAAGACTGAATAATTTCTGCTGTAAATTTCTACAAATTAATAGAAACGTTGAAACTGTAACTGCAATATTTTGAAATTTTATTTCAGCGGCCGACAATATATTACATAAAGTAATAGACCAAGCTTCTTTCTTTTTTTAGAAAAGTTGATATAGATCCAATTCCCCACTGAGAAGTTGGTTTTAATCCTCGGATTTGGTGACTTTGATACAAGTCCTTTGACTGTTATGCCACCTAAGATTACATTCATTTTTTAATATTTTCTGATATAATTTTTTTAAAATTTTTTTCACCCTCATATTTTGTTCCAATATTGCCCCTTATCCCTTGAATTGGAAATAATAATTCACGTCATAATCTGAATCCATTTACCACAGTTGTCATTGAGATAGAAAAGGAAATTATCTTAAACATATCCCAGATTTCACGTTGCTACAAACAGTTATTCTCCTTTGAACCCAATCTCTATTGATTCCTTTGCTTCTTCAATGCAGAATTGTTGGGGTTTCAGATTAGGTTTGAATATTACAGATACTCAGAAGGTTCGATGGTCACAATTTAGCACGTCTGAGACATCCCAGCTTTCATGGCAAGTTGAGAAATTGAATAGACAGATTTTTTACACGCAGATTGTGACAAAGTCTGTAGGAGAAAGCTTCATCACCGTGGACTTGTTTTTTGGCCAATTCTTTACCATACCAGGCATTATAATATGAGATGTTCAAGCCATAATTTTGCTTGAAATCTGTGACGATGTCCACTGGTTTAAGTTAAGGTTTTGTTCGAATTTGTTCAGCTACAACTGAGGAAACAATTTTCGAGCCCATAAAACGTCTTTGACGAGTGCGAATCCTGCCCTTGCAAGTATGCTCATTCATCAAATATTTAATGTAGAAGAAGCCATTCATCGGATTTACAGTGGCATGAACGCGCCAAGGACAATTTTCACTTTGCTTATTCAAACACTCCGCTGTCACACGCTTCAAATCATTTTTAACATAAATGAACCTAAACCCCTTCTCAAAAGCATATTTGCACAATTTGATCCTAAACTCGGTAACCCCACCTTCATACTTCTGCCCTACCTCCCTAATATATGTTTTCCACTCATGGGACAAATAAAGTCTACCTTCCTTTGCGGCATACTTTCCCAAATACTCATTTTCATCAATTGACATATTACCTTCACTATCGGATGAATCCATCTTGTCTTGTTCACCATTGCCAGATACTTTACTTCCCCTATGTATGACATTTATATCCACCGCATTTATATTTTCGTTACATAACGAAAGATGCAACACACGAACATCCATGTCAGTCTCCAGAAGACAAGATGAGTGTTCTTTAACTGCATATGTCAACTCGATTTCATCAACCTGCAATTCTTTAAACCTGGAACAAATTTGACTGCATATATCTGAATGCCTGGTGTCCTTACAAATCAATATTGACAAGGTTTTACAACCAAAACGACATCTGCCTATGATTGACCCGTCCATCCGCTGTGCAATTATAAAATATGATTGTAAGAACATAACTAACAAATCGCAACATATGTATGACACAACCAATGAGAATATTTTGACAGAACCTATATATACCATGACAGCATCTATATATCTCTATTGTACCAAATCAAACAATTACTATATATCTGTACAGTAGGTAATGTCATGCCTACATAGAAAATAGAACGAAATATATCTACTCAATTTCTCAACTTGCCATCAGGCTTTCTCAGAAACAAACAAATCGCAATATATGTATGACACAACCAATGAGAATACTTTGACAGAACCTATATATACCATGACAACATCTATATATCTCTATTGTACCAAATCAAACAATTACTATATAGCTGTACAATAGGTAATGTCATGCCTACATAGAAAACAGAACGAAATATATCTCCTCAATTTCTCAACTTGCCATCAGGCTTGCTCAGAAACCCAGAAAGTATTAAACCCAGAAACCCAGAAAGTATGAAACTCAGAAAATGTGTCTCCTCAATTTCTCAATTCAACACGTCTGATACCCAATGTCAGAGACCAATTCCTATTTTTCAACAATAGGTAAACTCACGACTTCATACCAAACCAAACGCAAAAACAACAACACACAAAGCAGATTGTTGAAATTGAAATACAAAAAATAAAAATACCTGTACGTGAGGAACTGCACTCCAGCAACCCAATGTCAGAAGACCCAATCCCTGTTTGGTTGACAATTGATTTCTGGCTTTTGACAATCAGGTTCCTAAAATTTTCATACCCAAAAAACTCACCATTACTGCCGCAACAGATCTGCAGCGATTGAGAAGAAATCTGGAGTGCTTTGGATGGAATGAGCATGATTGCAGGAAATAACCAGGAAAGCTGGATGTGTCGATCTATTTACCTTTTGTATTTAATGGCACTGGAGGTAAATAATTTTAAAAAGAAGGACAAATATTTAATGTATATGTATACACGCTGGCTGGAGGACTTCTATTGAAGAGTCGAATAGAGATGTCCTCAATCCATTATATGTATACAAAATAGGACTTGTATCCAAGAAGCCCTTTTAATTATCAAGACTACTTCCCAAGTATTATCATCAATACCAGTTTAATCATCCTCCCTCTAAATCCAACTCCACTGCGTAAAATTAGTATAAGGGATAAAGAGAAAGAGGAAGGGAGAGGGACGGCGGTCATGGCAGGTACTAGGGATTAGGTTCGTTGGGTTGGGGTGGTGCTGCTGTTGGGGCAACACTCTTTATTTTATTTTATATATATATTTTGGGTCGAATATATAAATTTATTATCAAGTCTTTTATTTGTCTAATTCTATTGCCATGTGTTCAATATTTGAGTGAAAGTACTATAAGCTGACGGGTATATCTGTATGTAGAGCTTTTTTTGTCGACAGAAATGTAGACCTGTCGGTGCATTAACTGCATTAACTGTCGGTGAATTAATTATACGTAATATTGTCGGCGATTTTTCAGAAGAAGATAAGGTAAGGCTTGTCATGCAGAACTGGAGCATTTAACTTTTTTGTAATGTGAATAGCATTACTATCTCTAATCAATAATGCAGTTTTAGTTGTTAGTTGACTCGTGCCATCACAAGTCTTCTTGATTAGTAAGTCTATTCTATAAAGGGTTCCCATCATTAATACGAACTGACCTGAGGATGAGACATTGAATATTCAAGGGTGATGTGGATGCAGCAAGCGAGGTTGAAGTCTTTTACATCGAGCATTAATGCCAATATTGACTTAAAAAAAGAGAGGAAATTTCCCCTTTTTTTAACTTAGACTTTTTTTTAATTAAAAAAAAAAGGACATTTCCTTTTTTTTAAAAAACAAATATTTTCTTCAAAAAAAGTAATTGAGGTAAAAAAAAAAAAATTAATAAGATGGTAAGAAAGTTGTCAAATTTTTTTGGATACATTGAATATATTTAATAAAGGTAAACTTGGAAAACAAAAATTAGCTTGTACAATATATTAATGATATTGTTTTAAGTGTAAGGAGAATGACACATATTAAGCAAAAAATGGAGAAAATCCAAATGAGAAAGTTAGAGAGAAGGTTGCTAGCATTTCTCTACCTGGCTACAAAACGTCTTTGAGGTTTATGAAACTATCAGATTGTGTCTTTGTTTTTTTCTTTTTTTGGTTTGGTTATTCGTGGTTCTCAAAGTTAATATGTGTGCTCACAAATAGTCATTCTGTCAAAAACTCTGTTGGTTTGTTGATGTTCCAATAATATAGTGCCATATGGATTTAAAATACAATATATATTTTTTTAAAATAATTTAAATTTTAAAATACAACTTTTCTTTAGGTCTTTTCATTTTTTTATTTTTATGAATTTTAAATTTTAAATTATTAAATATACATATATATATATTGTATTTTAATTACGCGTAGCACTGTATTATTAGATACGTGGACTCCAAATATATGCCACATCAGCAAATTAATAGAGATTTTGATGGAACCTGACGACATGGGCTATTTGTGAGCATACATATTAACCTTGAGAACCACGAATGACAAAAAAAGAAGAAAAAAGACTCAATTTGATAGTTTTGTGAACCTCGAGACATTTTGAGTTATAAAACCTTTTAGAATAATCAAAGGGTCCACGTTGTCAAATTTCACTTACCCAAAAAAGATTCGAAACTTTTCATGGGCCCCGAGAAAAACCTTGTAGAATAATCAAAGGGTCCACGTTGTCAAATTTCACGTACCAAAAAAGATTCGAAACTTTTCATGGGCCCCAAAAAAAACCTTGTAGAATAATCAAAGGGTCCACGTTGTCAAATTTCACGTACCAAAAAAAGATTCGAAACTTTTCATGGGCCCCCCAAAAAAAAAAAAAAATCCTAAAAAAGGAATAACAACAAAAACACACCCATCAAAAGTCATTGGCTCATAAGGCTCAGAGGGACCCTTCATTAAAAACAGAGACCGAGACTGAGACTGAGCCAAGAAAGAAAAAGGATAATATAGATATCAGGGAATTGATATAAGAAAAATTAGGTATTAGACATAATTAAGTTTACTAATTAGTAAGTGAGATATTAGGTATTTTGGTTTGTGTTTTAATACCTAAGAAAAAATTGATATTTTAGATTAGGCCAAAGACTGACCTAGATTCGTTGGGCTAGCTTAAAAATAACAAATGAAAAGACAATTCTACCCTTATTCTTAAAAAGCTTGGCCCATTTGTAAACCTACAAATTAAATGACGCTTTTACCTCTGAATGTTTAATATACGAGCGAGTTTCTCTTTCTTTTTCGTTCGTTTTCTTTTTTGTTTTGGAGCTGTGGTTGTGGATCTGCCGTTGGAGCTCAATTTTCTGATATGTTTTCCTTTAATTTTCTTCGTTTTTCTGTTTTCTTTTTTCTGCTATGTTTTCTTTCGATTTGCATGCTGAATGGCTGTCAGTTTTGGGTGATTTCTGTTCTCCTTAGTTCGGGTATTTCGAGCTCAGTTTTGTGGCTCGATTTTGCGGTGCGATCTTGTGGCATTCAATGCTAAACCCTATATTCTTCGTTTCGTGATCAGATTTGATTTTAAGCTGCTGTTTGGTTGTGGAGATTTTTGGCAGTCCTAAGTTTTGAGGAATACTTTAGAACCTGTTTTCGTTTATATCGACTTGTATGTTTATGGAATTTAGTTTTAGTACTTTTATCGTGGTTTCCTTTTGGTTTCTATTCAAATTGTTTTGATTTTCTGTCATAAACTGCGTTTGTTTGTTGTAGTTTTTGCAAAAACTACATTGCAGTTTCTTGTTTATAATTCGATTTCAGATTAATATTTGGAAGTCTATTGAAATTTTTCAGAAGTTTCTTATTTCATAATTCGATTTCAGACTAATATTTGGAAGTCTATTGGAATTTTTCAGAAGATAAGGTTTGTCAGTGCAGAACCGGAGCATTTAACTTTTTTGTAATGTGGATAGCATTACTATCTCGGAAAATTCTACCATGAGCCAGGTGCATGGATGTGCCAATTATATGGGCCGTTGGATGAACTGTTGTGGGATGTGGGGTAATCTACACCATTGATAGTGAGTGACCGGTTAAATGGGTTGCTCCAGGTGAAAAAAAAAAGAAAAAAGAAAAAGAGAAATCTGAAAAGAAAGAAGGCTCTTCTGCGACTCCTATTTCTTCTTCTTCTTCTTGGCACGACTCATGTCTCTCTTCTTCTTGGCAGGATCAGTCTTTTTTCCATGGTTGCTCTCTCTTCTTCAGTTGGGTTTGTTAAGATGAAGGTTTGATTATTCAAGAATAGAAGAAAGGAAGGGAAGAGAGAGAGAACAACCAACATCAAGTTTTGCAGAGCTCAGAACGGTGGTTTCCAGCCACCACCTGGGTACGAAATTGTTCACCTGTTCTTCCTCTTCTCTCTTGGCGGCTGGCTCTTTCTCTCAATACCTGGCTCTATCTCTTCGTTGGCTAGCTCTGTCTGATGCTCTCTCTCCATCCTCTTTTCTTCCACCATTCTATAGGTAACAATTCTCATTCTATTAGTATTATGTTATACAATTTTTGCTTTTGGGTTAAATTATTTGGGCAAATTATTATCTTTTTGTATTTTTTTAATTTCTATATAAATGAGGGTATATTTTCTGAAATTGTTTTCTGGATTTTTTTGTTAAAAGTGGAGTTTGTTCTTGTTTAATGAATTCTTTTTCTAATTATATTTTCCATCTTGACTTCATATTCACTAGTGTGCAATGCACTGACATATTTTGTTGAGTTGTGTTGACGCAGAAAAATGGTTCGGCACTTTCCCGCGCAACTTAGAGATGTTGGGCCTTCGGTATGCTCTGGGCCTCGGTAGGGCGTTCGATCTGCAAGATAACAAACGCTCAGTAAGACCTAGGGCACCGGTGTGGTACCGGTCGAAGGCTCTCCTATGCTTAAGTAAGTACGGAGTTAATAAGTTTGAACTACAGATCACTAGGCAGTATGCCGTAAGTTCTGATTGATTACCTCCAAGCTGGGATAGTTGTCCTATTTTATAGGCCTTGGGAGGTGTGCAATTTGTTTAGAGTTTTGATGTGGGACTGCGAACATCAATTGTGGGACTGCCACGTGTCCCAGGGGGGTAAGGTTGCCCTAATCGAGCGATCGGTAGCTATGATACCGAAGCTAGGTGCCGAAGGCTCCCATAGCTCTAGTTTGGTCCACATGTCCGATGTTCATTGGTTGTTCATTTTGGTATAAACAGGAGTCCCCCAAGTCCTCTTGCGAGAGTTCTCAGAAGGGGATTTGAAGTTGTCTTCAGAAGGAAATGTTACCTTACCGTTCGGTAATCCAGCTGGTGGAGGGGCTCAACTTTGGCTCTTCCATTCTTATTCATTCAGAGGCTGACGTCGGGAAAGTCAGAAGGTCGCGTCGAGTGGACGAGTGAAGGGACATCTGAGCACTTCGACTTCCGTGCCTCGCATGCCGTCAGTCCCCCATAGGATGAGCGACATGTGGTGAGAGTAATGATGGTGCGCGGCGCATTAATGCGCCGTTTGGTTTTTTGAGGTATACCGTTGCCACTCCTCTCCCTATAAATATAGATGACTCCGGAGGCAAAATCACTTCTGCATTTCGTGAGAAGCGAGAGCTCTGTTGAGGCGATTTCTGAAGAGAGCTTCCGGCATTCAAGGCGATTTCCGACAAGGGCTAACGGTAACCAGGTGATTTTCGGCGTTGCGAACGGCAAGAAAAGCGATTTCCGTCAAGACGATCTGGACCGCAGTTCGTGTTTCTTATCCAGAATTTGATTTAAGGTGCCGTTCGGTAACTTCAACTTACTCTCCTATTTATCTTAAGAGTTACGTCCTTTCTTGGTTTGAACAAAACTGGCCATAGGGTTCCATTCGGTAGTCTAGTCGCCATAGGTAGGAATGTAGGGACGGTAGG